GTCCTACCTTGATTGAGGTTGCGCACCTAACTGATGATAAATACTCTGACGGGAGTTGAGTATGTATCAGATGTGAGTGTGCAAATCTGTAATCTAAACTCTTTTGCTTCTAAGAAGGTGTGAGAGTTTGTTTCTCACCATGATATTCAGAAGTGGCATGTTTTCATCATGGTGGAATGTAGAGTTGAGTCACTGATCAAATCTGGTGTGGTCTATGGTGTGAATATCTTTCATGTCTGTCTGCTATGATGAAGGGTCCACTTATGCGTTTGTAGCTCAACCATTTGTGAGAAGGGAGTTCTATCTGCAACATGTACCATTAGAGGAGGTTGTGAAGGAAGGAATGTGAGAAAAAATTTCCTTTGATGAGTTGGTGAATGTAACTGATTACAAATACCTTGACGGGGGATGGGTATTTGTCTGATGTGTTGCAGCAGAATTGAAGTCTAGATAAAGTTTACATGGTCTCATACAACTTGTGCTAGTCTGCCTCTGATTGGTTTTGTGGTATCAAGCAAAAATGTCTTGACATTATGTTCAGTTCATTTTCTGAACCTGGCTGAAGGTAGTAGGCTTGGAATTTTGTGGGAAGCGTTGGGTTTTGGAGCATTCTAATTCTGCCTCTGATCTATGTTCTACAATGTGTCAGAGTTGCCCTTGTGTCTTGGGAATGTCCTGAGAAATTGTGTTGGTTGTTTTTTGAGAGAATTTATTTTTCTCTCCAAAAGTTGTAGAGCTCAAGAGGGAGTTCTATTATTGGATGATGGCCAAAGTGATCAGGTTCTGCGATAAAAAGCTGATGTCCTACATGATATTATAACATCATGTTTGTTGGCGACTATCATTGGAAGAGTCCTTGAATGTATATCTATGAGGACTTATAACAATCACTGATATTGTTATTGTTGTCAATAAATTCTTCTTCATACCATCTACATCGTGGTATTTTGTTGACTATTATTAAGAAAAGGGAATCTCCTTATTTTGCATTACTATTTGTTTGGAGGGAAACATGTTCTAAACATTATTGTGACATCATCCCAGGTGAAGACCCTGCTGACTAGGATAAGGATGTTGCTAATCCTATTTGCATTAAATATTGAATATACTTTGTGTTGATGCTGATAAAGAAGGAAAAAGGTGTCAGATAGTGTAGTCTGATCATAATGCTTGTTGGGGAGGTAGCGTCTTTTGCTACAAGAAGAGTTTATGTGAATTAGGATCTTGTGGAGCAAGCTATTTGAATAAAGTTGTTTGGGAGTATGTGAGAAACTTCAAAACAAGTGCGCACGACTTCTTCCTACACAAAGAGTCATGATATTTTGTGTATATTTTGTGTCTTCATGGTATGAGTTTGTTCAGTAGGGGGAGTAAATTACTTTTCTGTGGATTGTTGCTGCATTGGTGCAAATTCTATATGATGTCAGATAATATGTTATGACATTACGTTACTGGATGTAGTTGTTGGTGCTCTTGACAAGGTATGGTTGGTTCTAGCCATGAGAAAGATGGATGATTATATCAGGTGTACATGTTCCTCTTACGTGTATTCTGAGAGATGGTGTTTATGAATGAGAGAAGTAAGACTAAATGGATGTTGATCTTACTGGTTGATAAGAACCTGCAAGGTGGTCGGGTGACGATCTTCTGTCGGGCTGGAAAGTCGAGGAGAAAAAAGAGGATTGTACCTGCAAGACACTCCGATGATCAAGTAAGTACGGGAGCAAAGAGATACAAGCAACATGTTAGAATTTTAGTGGTGAATAGTGAATATTCCATACCTGGCCCCACATGTGTGAGGGTATATATAATGCCCCTGACACGTGGCTATTGGTTCCTGTTTTTGGGCCTAGATATGCAGATGCGTGAAAATAGATAACTTCCAGGACTTGGTCATACCGAGCAGGTGTTTCCATAACTAACAGTTGGTTTCGAGGAGAAGGTAGGTTACGGACAGCGGTCTGGTCGGTTCCTGACTGTCTGGGCGACTTGATGTCGGACAGACTGAGAGTTGCTTGTTGATTAGAGTGAGTCATTGCCGGTTCAAGAGGGAAAACGAATGATGGCTCCCAACGGGCCGCGCCAAAGGGAGAGACTAGGCTGGGCCCACTCTGATTGTTGGGCCAGTCCAGAATAGATGTCTTGGCGGATGAAGAAGGAGAAAAGTAGGAAGTTGATGATGTCGATGATATTGATGCATAAATGGTGCATCTGTGCTCCTTTTGGTTTTGCATTAGTATTAGTTTAATGTGTGTGCTAATGTGCTATTGTGGTTTATTTTTTGTTAGTTGATTCCTTTGTCAACATGTCGAATGTGATGTCCTAACCAGAAGAGTGTGACATTTGGTCTGTTACACTTTTGCAGTTTGAAAGATGTTTCAACTTGCTATTTGAACATGTCGAAAGGGATGTCCTAACCAGAAATATAGGACACCGGGTCTGCTACAGCTGACGATTGGAATTCAGTTGTTGTGATTTAATTACTGAATATTCTGGAAATATTTAGTAATTCTATGTGGCGTCCAAGATTGATAAATTTGAGATTTTATGTTGATTTTTCAAGATATTCAAACTTTTAAATATGGAGACATTTTAAGAAAGTTATGATTGAAGATCTATTTTCTTGGAGATTTTTTTGCAGACTTTGTGCAGTCTCGCTACTGTGTTTTTAAGTCCAAATTCAGTTGGGAAAATGTCTATAAATAAAATGTTATAAACCTAAAGCCGATACGGGTCCAGAGTGTAGAATCATTAGGGCCTTGTCATTGTGTCACTCTTTAGGAGAGTTGGTTTGTGTAATTCACTCGGGTTGTGAGTTGGACTGTATAACATAATTGTAATCTCTCTTATTGTTCTCCTCGAAGCTTTTAAGCAAGAGGTAGTATTATTCTTAGAGGAAGTTGTCAAGCAACTCTAAATATTGTTCTTGATCAAAGTTGTGAAGCAAGATCAAGTATGTTGTTCTTAATCAAGGGGTGTCTTGATTAAGGTGTTTTTCTTGTAATTAAAGTGTGATCTTCATTTAAGTGAAAGGTCGTCGATACAGTAACTGGGACTGAGACTGTTAGACATCATTACGGTGATTGGAAGTGAGATGTGATTTCTCATATCTAAGGAGGATCTAGGTAGAAGTTGCACAGAATAGTGATTAAGTGAGTAGATCGTAAACGGATATGTTTGATGTAACGGATATGCCCTCAAAGTAGGAGAGTCTGAACTGAGTTAACAATTCTGATGTGTTATTTTTATTTTTCAGTACTGCTTTGTATGTTTATAACTTGCCATGTTTGTTTTAGTCAGAACAGATGTCTCGACATTCTATAAGACATTTGTAATCTGATATACCTGAATGTCAACAACAATAATATCATGTCGTTTACCAGTAGTCAGTGTTCATGCTAAAACTTCATATCAGGAGTTAAATATGTCAATTGCAACCTATATAAGAGTAAACTATCAATATCATAGAGACAAAAACCTTTAAAAATTAAACTTGTTACATGAAAAACATACAACGTCAGTGTTGAAGAACAGTGTAAAATCCGTACAGTTAATTCGTAGAAGAATATGCCGATTCTAAACCACACAAATAAAGTATTTTTTTGCACCACTACCGAAAATTGTGTATATATGCAAAATTTCTAGTGTACCAAAAATATCTAAAATTCCGAAAGTTTTTTTTACACACGAGTTATAAAATTTCCAATATATTTTTATGTTTTTCTAGATAAACACGGAAAAATTTCTAGATATATTCTTCGGCAATTTTGTTTTTCCTACACTATTTCCTTAAAAACACGAATTTAGCTAGAAAATGAGAAAATCTAATACCGGAAATTTCATTCTTAGTAAATTTTTTTAATGATTATAAATTTTTTAGGATAAATAATAACAAGAACATAGTATCACTAGGGGATGAGAAGTTAAATTTTCCGAAAGTGTCTTTCATACATAGAGTGCTACATAATTTCCATTTTAGTATGTTAATTTCTATTTTTATTTTTCCATTGCTAAGTGACAATTTTTAGATTTTTATTTTCTTCCTATATTATGATCAATTATCTAAGAAATGAATCAATCCGTAATTTTAAAAAATACAATATTTTCTGTAAGACTTACTTAGCATTAGACTTTATTCTAAATCCTTTTAGCTTACATTTATATTCTCTTAGCATCAGACTTTATTATAAATCCTCCTAGCATCAGACTTTATTATAAATCCTCCTAGCATCAGAATTGGATTTTTCTCAGAATCCCCTAGAATCCAAATTTCCGTCTCACAACAACACAGATTCAGAAACTGGCAAAATTTTGGGTAAAACCAATAATCATAGTTGTAAAACTATCCATAAAAAAATTATAGTTGTAAAACTAGGCAATCATAATTATAAGGTTTACCCGATAAAGAACCGGCCACCGAATAAAACCACCCCATTTCCTCCCTACTACAATACATTGAAAATTCTAGTCCCAATTTTCCAGACTGCATTCCTCTTTCCAATGAAATTCATAATTGAATTAAGTACATGAGCAGCTCGATTAAATTGAACATGTTTCAACCCCCTGCAAGATAGAAACCAATGCAGACTTCAGAACTCTAATCCCATAAACCAGGATTCCCCCTTGTATACTAAATTACACTTAAATCTCCTTGCTCATAATATGGCAACAAAAATAAACATGTTTAGCCATTTTGGTCACAGAACCTTTAATGCAAAAATGGAATTTCAATGCGGAGTCTAAACCTTTCACAATGTTTAAAACCAACCCAACAGAGTCAATAAAACACAAGGTTAGATTGATGAGTTACAGAATATGACATGTGGTCCTTTCTGCACAATATTGTGCATGTTCCTGAAGATAATTTACTATTCAAAGCATAAAACGAGAAGAGGGGAGGTGGTTGAAAAACATTTAAGATGAAAAGTATGATAGTGGTCATAACCTACAATTCTGAACTAAGCTCTTCATAAATATCATACAGACTAAAAATAATGCAATTAAGCCTTCGATTTCTTCCCTTTGGCTTCGTTATTGGGTTTGTTCTTGAAGGGCAGGAAAGTCTTTCCACCCATGAATGGTCGGAGGACTTCTGGTATCTCTACCCCGTCCTCCTTCTGGTTGTTCTCTAGTAAGCAGCAAATGGTCCTCTCAGTAGCAGTGAGAGTAGAGTTCAACAAATGAACGTATTTCTTCACTGGGTCATTGCTCTGCAACAGGAAAAAAGATGCAAAGGCTAACAGTCAAAATTATGAAATTAAAGTCTTGTAAACAGTTGAAATTAGTTAGCCAAAAGAACATATTGCCCATGGCAAACCATATGTATGCAGTTATTGACACACTTTAAGTTATCATGAGGGTCTAATAGCATAATGTATTAGGCCTATAAACAGAAGTAAGCATCGTCAATACTAACAGATATTCTCAGAATGTTTTAATGCAGATAAAATTTACTTGTCAAAATATAATTTCAATGAAAGATTAGTCACCAGAGAAGAAAGTACTTAGGAATTTCAGGAAGTATAACAAAAAATCATGCCGTATCCTAAGTGGGGTCTGCTATATGGATCAAATTATACCATAATGTCTCTTGGTCTTCCTCTACCTCTAGTTGTTGGACTCCTATTCATCTAATCAACTCTCCTTACAACAAAATCTGCAAGTCATCTCTCTACATGTCAAACCACCTAAGCCTATTTTCCTCAATTTTTTCTACTATATATGCTACCCCAACTCTCTAAACTCTAATATTGTCATTTCTAATCATCCTCATCTCTGCTGCACTTATTACGAGATTCTGACATAAACGGGGAAAGAACTCTCGATCTCTCCTCTCTCTGGAAATGAACTTCTTCATCCTAAAGTAATTGAATAATACTATGTAATAAAGCTATCAATTAGTTGTAATGGCGCCATCAATATGATGAACTTGGGCATAACTAACCTTTTTCTGTCCAAATCGAATTTCTAACTTTCTGGCCTGGTAGTCAGTACAATTTGAACAGGATACCAACTCCCTGTAAGTTTGAGAAGCTGGAAACCATGCTTCAAGATCATACTTCTTCGCAGCAGCATCATTTAAAGCACCAGATACAATGGAAACAATTTGATATGGAATGTTCAACTGCAGTAAATAAAATATAATTACATAAGAGAAGGAAACTAAAAAGGAGGGCGAAGAGAGCAATCAATTTAGATTGAAAACAACCAAGATAACAATCTCTATGCAATGGCAACAGCAAGATGAAATAGAATGAGGCAATGACAGAAGACAGGCAATAATCACAATTCACAAACATACAACAAAGTCCTACATATCAAACCTTACAAGAACTATTGAGATGCATTAAATATTCCCCTCTTTAGAGGTGTTTGACATGTCAAAAACAAGATGGCAGACTAATCCCATAGATTAATTTTACCCTGGGACTCGGCAACCATTCCAAAATTATTCTCCCTCAGGACTCATAAGAGAAATATTTAGGCCTTTTTGGATCCAAATATTAATGTGCCTTTTTTTTATGGGTATGAACATTCAATGCAAGGTTACATTAGGAAAAACCTTTCAAAGTTACCATATTAAATGGGTGTCATAAATTACTCTTTTATAAATCGTTTTGAAACAAGTGCTCAAATAAAAAAATGGCTTTATTATGAAAGACGTTGTCGTACCGCCTTGTAAAATTCCTCAGAGTTCTTAAGCATTTCCTCGTGCATGAGCCATGAATTATTTCCTTCTGGGGAGGTAATGCAAAACTGCTCTACTTTCTCAAATTGGTGAACTCGGAATATTCCTAGAGTATCTCGACCGTGAGATCCAGCTTCTTTACGAAAGCAAGATGAATATCCAGCATACCTGCAGAAAGTATGTTTCCAAAATTAAAAATATAACATAGTTTTCTGGTTTAATATGAAAGACGTGACTAAATTCATGTTACCTAAGGGGTAGCTGGGTAGGCTGGATCCAATCATCTATATGATATGCACAAAGCGGCTGCTCTGCTGTTGCAATCAGATATTTGTCATCTCCTTCACCAGTTACCTAATATAATAATTCCTTAGATATGACCAGATCAGAGGAAAAGATTGGGGGTGGTCTTAGGCTTGTTAGTATGCATTGAAGTATTCATATTCGGTGGCCTTAAAATCTCAAATATAAATTATAAGCTTGCAATAGACTACGAACTGTGTACAGAGGCATCACTAATATGTTTTTAATAAAATCAAATTCTTATATGGACACCTAAATCAACATTTGAATAAACTTGAGAATTTTACCTTATAAAGTTCTTCATCGAATTGGGCTAACTGAGCACACTTGGACATTATATCTTTTCTCATGAAGAAAGGAGTTTGCAATAAGGTATATTCCCTTTTCTCCAAAAAATCAAGCCCGAAGTTGATTAGAGCTTGGTTAAGACGAACACCATCTCCTTTGAGATAAAAACCTCTACCCCCAGCTACATCAGCTCCTATTATGCATCAAGCAACATGGTATAAGGGATTAGGATACATTCAGAGAAGGTATACAATCAGAAATGCAGAACCTATCAAACGCCTTCTGTACAGCAGTTGAAACACGGCAGTGTTCCATTTGACAGAGAATCACATTATAAACCTCAAAATTATAAATTAAAAACAAATGCAAAAAAAATTGACTTCCAACCTTTCTTCAAATCTGCTATCCCGAGAAGGTCAACGAGATCCACATGATTCTTTAGTTTAGGTTCTACTCTTTTCTCTCCCCACGTTCTAATGACGGCATTGTTGGCCTAAAGCATTGATCTAATTTACCCAATGAATTATACAATCACAATGAACCGAAATAGAACTAGATCATTACCTCATCATTGCTGATTGGAACGGAATGATGGATGAGGTTACCAATGGATTCCAATTTGGAATTCAAATTGTTTAGAGTTTCGGCAACCTCAACATCTTTCTCAGCTATGGATTTCTTAGTCTCTTCAGATTGAGCAATGAGGTCAGTTGCATCTTCACCAGCCTAACACACAACAAGAACGGAATGATTTATGATTTGCAATTGCAATGTGTATGAGTAAGAATTGAATGTAGTGATGCTTACACGCTTGAGTTTGGAGATTTCCTTATTGAACTTGTTGAAATTTTTTCGGAGATTCTCTAAATCGAATTGACCTGCAACAAAACAAGATAAGATTAGGTTGATGCAATTGTTGTAAAGTGGAGATTTAGAGATAGAGGGAGAGATGAGTACGCTTTCGCCATAGTTTGTCGAGATTGATAACTTCATCAACTACTTCAACGCTGGCGAATCGATGGCGTTGGGATTCACGAATGAGTTCGGGGTTGCCAATGTCATCCTTTTCCTCTCTGAATAGGCGGATGTCTAACATGTCTGTCTGTCTACGGCGGCCGATGAATGTCTGCGGCGGCCGATGAATGTCTGCGGCGGCCGATGAATGTGCGGCGGCCGATGAATAGGGTTTGTAAAAATATTTGACAGTATTGTTGTCAAGGTTGAAGATGAAAACTGCAAGCTAAAGTTAAAAAGAAAGAGAAGATTAGGGTTTCTTTATGTTGTTTTTTAAACAAAGCCCAGTATAAATATTTGTTATAAATTGATATCTATCAAAAGAAAATTTTCCCACTTTACTTGAACTCGATCAAATCTTTAAATTGCTGGTGGCTACGCTCATTTATAAATCGGTTCAATTTTAATTACTTTAGTTTAAAGATGACAACAGTTTAGGTTTGTCGGACACGTCTATTTTGCCCATATATTTTTAGAGATAACTTAAGATTTTAGATTCGCATTTTTTAATATGATTATCTGTTCCATTTTTTCCGGTTATTGCATATATGAGCGTTAATATGAAAATTTATACTTTTTAAGTTTAAAAGATGTAATGTACGTAGGACAAAGTTTTCGGCTTAAAATGTGATATTGTATACACGGACATTAACATGAAAATTTATACTTTTTAGCTAAGAGGTATAATATATATGGGACAAAGTTTTAGGTCTGCACCCTCAACAAAATCCGTCCTACTCTACCATATTTTTTTACGGACTTTTACGTGACAAGCCTAAAGGTGATTGGCATTGCCCGTTTGCCACTCCTTTTAGTTTTTAATACTCTCTTTTTATTTTGAGAAAAAATGAAATACACATGTAAAAATATTTTACATTGTCCGTTAATAGAAGATATGTATCATAATAAATCACATTTTTACTGATATGGTAAATATAAGAATTTTGATTGATTGCATGTGTGAAATTGTTTTACATTAACAATGCACTATTTTTCAACTCTTTTATTTTTGTATTTTTAGATTTTATCTTTCATTTTAAAATTATATATTGATTTTTTTTTATTTAATTTTTTAAATTTTAATAACATAAAAGTTCACTTAATTATGAATTAATATTTTTTATAATTTAATTGGTATCCATCAATAATATAACAATTAATTGTGATCGCTAGATTTTTATTAATGTTTGAATTTTATTCTAATTTTAATGATCTACAAAATAACATATTTGAATGATTTTAATATACTTACAGGGTAAAAAAAATTATACAGATAATATATAACCATTAATCTATTTTTTATCAAGTTGAATGTCACGTCAATAAAATTTAATTTAAATTTTAAAATATTAAAATCTTTCACACAAAACTTATATTTAAACTAATGATTTTTGTATAGAAATTAACTGATATATTCTATTAATGTAAAAAGTTTTATGTGATTGGTAAATCACAACCATTTATAAGCGATACTTTATAATTACATAAAAGAAAAATAACAAATAATTATAAAAATTTAATGATTATAGTTAATTGACAATGTAAAATATCTTTACAATATCATAGATACCAATTCAATTCTTATATATATATATATATATATATATATATATATATATATATATATATATATATATATATATATATATATATATATATATATATTTCTTATTTAGTAACATTTTTACATTTCTTACTTAAATATATCTTCTTTTAAACTATATTTTTTATTAAAATTCTTTTTTATTTCATTTTTATGAAAGAAACTTCATCCTACATTTTAAATTTTTTTTCATATATATATATATATATATATATATATATATATATATATATATATATATATATATATATATATATATATATATATATATATATATATATATATATATATATATATATATATATATATATATATATATATATATATATGAAAAAAAATTTAAAATGTAGGATGAAGTTTCTTTCATAAAAATGAAATAAAAAATAATTTTAATAAAAAATATAGTTTAAAAGAAGATATATTTAAGTAAGAAATGTAAAAATGTTACTAAATAAGAAAAAAAAAAAAATATATATATATATATATATATATATATATATATATATATATATATATATATATATATATATATATATATATATATATATATATATATATATATATATATATATATATAATACAAAAGTATTGTAAAAATATGTTGTATGTGATTGCAAATCTTAGTTCAATTGACAAAAAATGATATTATTAAGTATGACATTAGCACTGGAATTTAAATCCTAATACTCATGGTTGCGTATGTGAATTTCTAATGATTTTTATCATTTTGTTACGTAAAAAAGAATCATATATACACCTATGCATATTATACATATAAATCATAGTTTTACATTTTTCTCAAATAGAAATTCATTACTCATTTATGTCATATCATTAACTTGAAAATATTTGTGTCTAATTTCAATGAAAATTCTAAAATGAGCTATTGGAAAGGTGTAAATTGAAGGATGAGTTTGATTGCAACTTGTTTCATATGAGATGATGAACTTGATGGTCATCCTTCATATGTTTGTACCGTAACACATGAACACGGAAATTTCTTGATAATTCCAATGAAGCGGCAACATCCACTGTCAAAATACTTTACACTTGCTACTGCTCAGAGTTAGTGATGGACATTACAAGCATTATTAAAGACTTTGAGTGTAAGAGAAAAGAGAAGATGAAGATGAAATTGGATAATGAAAGGAATAAAGGCAAGTTGTTTAAGATTTTGTTGAGTGTCTCTTTGATTATGTTACTTGCATACTTTAAGATGTCTACTTTTTTTTAAAGTTGTTGATTTATAAATATCAACAACATGTTTACATTTTGAAAGAAAATACAAATAAATTTCGATGTCAGAAGTCGAACTATGGACCAACAACTTACACCGTTAACTCAACTAGCAATTGCCAACTGAGCTATCCCACTCACCCCTTTAAGATGTCTACTTGATGAATGTAATAAGTTGATATTTTGATGGTTTAAATATATTAACCTTCCATGTAAGTTAGGAAATTTGTTATTTTCGTCCATGTATCTTTTTTAATCATATTTAAGCCTATTTTGATTGTCTAATATAATAGTTTATTAGTGAATCAAGATGGAGATTTTGAAAAAAATTGCACAAATTCCAATCAAATATTGAACTTATCTTGCATAACCAAAATGTATATGACCCATAAGGCATACGAACTTGTATGAAATTCATGATCATAACAAGGTTCAAATTCTAAAATACAAAACCAAAATACATATGACGAGGAATGCATATGAACTTAACTAGTTGCAATAGATCTTAAAATACATAACCATCAACTTAATACTTAAACTACACAACTAAGTTGCATTATGTTTACAAAGTCACAAGTTGTGTTACATCACTTCCAAGTCCCTTAAGTTGTTTGCACTTCAGAACCTTGCTCATATCACTTCTCCTCGAGTTCTTCATGTTCAAATTTATTGCAACCTTTATTTTGATTTTATTGTCCGCATAACAAAACAGGTATTAGAGAGAATAATTGTTGCACCCCAAAATTTGCCCTCTTTTCTTTACCTTATATGGATTATGTTTCATCATACACATTCATACACTTTTGATAAGACCAGGGTATCTTTGGTTCTCATACTCTTTTACAAGTTATAGAAGATGGGTTGTATTGACAATCAATGCAAAAAGGGTCTCATGTTCTCACTCTTTGGGTCACTCAAGCTACAAGAGTTTCTCATACTTCAAGACATCTCAATTCTCTCATTGATTCATCAGAAGATTGAAAATTGCAAGAGTATTGAAGTGAATCACATTTCTATTATTCCTCTCTTAATATTAGGGTTTTGGGCATATGAAGTGTTTAATGCTTGTATGATCCTTTTTGTTAAAGTATTATCCTCTCATCATCATATGAGACATCTTTGTTCAAGGAATTCTCCATCATACTCAAAGGAATTAGGGTTTTGAGATTGGATCATGACCTCATAGCACAAGCAGTCAAATTAGGGTTTGTGATTAAATCAGGGAATCTATGACTTTTTGAGCTACATTTGATTCCATGATTCTCTACATGTTCCCAATCATCTATGATTGAAAAATTGAGCATCAATTTTGATTTGAAGAGATTCAATTGATCAATTGGGGGTAAATTAGTCATTTGAGGAAAAGTCAACCAAAGTCAAAGTTGACCAAGTGGACTTTTGGTCAACAAGCAAGTAAAAACTCTTATTTTGATATTACATGGTCATTAGTGGAAAAAATCAAGAGTTTGATAGATTTTTGAAGTAACTTGTCAAAGAAGTTATCTTGATAACTTTGAAAAATTTTAAGTTTTTAAGGGTTTTAAGCTAAACTTTAAAAAATCAGATCTCATTCATTTTTTATTTTATTTGTGCAAACCTTATATCCATGGAAAGAGGAAGAAAATTTATTTAACTTTGTCCTTGTGTGCTCAAGTCTAAAAAGTGAAGGAAAAGAGAGTTATGTGGCTTTGAATTTTTGATCATCATGGACACTTAATAGAAATTATAGGTCATTTTCTAAAATCGGTAACTTTCATGCTCACTTTTAAGGACTTTAATGGTTTTTCAAATCCAAATGGCATCAACATATAAGTTTAAGAGCATCTCAAGACCTTTCCAAAAAGTCCAGGTTTGTGATCTAACTCAAAGAATTGAGCAAATTATGCCTTTTAAGATTTCAGGTCACTTTTATGAAAAGTACAAAGTAGCCAATTTGCAAATTCTCATCAAACTCCATTTTCAGCCATTTGTTTTATTCCAAATCAAGTCCATGACACATTTATGACATGATCAGACCCGTGATATATTCTATTTGCACACATACACCTCTTGTACTTGGATTCAACTTAAAACTCCAAAAATTGCCAAGAATAGCAAATTCTCACAAACTTCCTGCACTCTTTACCCCATGTGCTCAGCTTTCGTACACTTTATAATGACCATATGAGGCTTCCAAAATTCACAAATCATGCAACTTGTTGTATACAAAATGCATGATGTGATGCTCACTCATTTTTCCACCA